GGTTTTGGTAAACAACCGCTGATCCTCCAAATGGTTACTTATTTGGTTACTCGCAAGATCGATCAGATTGATCCTAGGACATAGGTTGATTTTGAAGTTTGATTGAATTGGATAAGGCTTTAAATAAAAAGGTTTCAAGTAAATTGCATGAAGGAAAGACTTGGTAAAATAAACAAGGCTTTAAAGTAAAAGGTTCGACAAGAATGTAAAGGAGAAAGCAAGTAAATTTCTGGAAAAGTAAATGACTTTGATGAATAAAATTGGTGTTTCACACATACATTTCTCAACAATTCTTTCTCACACGCTGGGTACTCGAATCTATATGAGTGACTTTGTATAGAATTGTGAACACACCCGAGAAACTACATGTCTACTCCTATTTATACTAAAACATCCCAAGTAACCGTCGGGCAGTTACACTGCTTCGAGATCAATCCACTTGGCACGTTCTCCACGCTCGACGCTCCAGATCCTTGCACGTTTGCACGTGGTAACTGCTGGAACCGTTTTCCCTCCAAACGCTTGAATTTCAAACTGCTCCACTCTGAACCATCGAACACTTTCGTCAAGAGACATCTTCGACGAGAAACTCCTTCGACGTCGAAGGCAACCAGCCTTCTTCCTTGGAAGAAATCTTCTAAGTACTTTTGCCATCTTTCGACGGGCACTTCGACAGACTTAGCCAGTCGAAAGCATCTTTCAGCTTTTAATGGTTGACATTGATAAAACAAGAGTGTCGAATTTAGGAGCCAACAGACGTCCTAACGTTGCTTTAGTGACCACAAGTCCCTTAAATCGAATTGACCCGAAAAACTCCAACGATAGTGCTACCTACTCCTCAATAGTGGGATAGCACTGTCTAAAGGACAGTTGCACAGTTTAATTCCTTTTCGAGTAGGTAGATGTTCTTAAGTACTTGTTCTCTTTTAAAACAAAACAAAAACTTTTCGCACTTACACTTTCATCAAAAACAAAACTCTTTTCAAAACCCACAATCACAAAGAAAAGCAAACCCTTTGAAAACATAGTGAGCAAGTACCTAAGAGTCCGTGGATAACCATGGATAGAAAGGGTGCTAACACCTTCCCTTTCTATAATCTACCTCCCGAACCCGAGAAACATTCTCGAAAAGGAATTTTTTCTATGCTTTTGTCCTTTCCCTTGTTGGATAAAATAAAAGACGGTGGCGACTCTTACTTACCGCGACACTTTGTGGAAACAAACGCAAACCAGCATATTAAAAAAACAGTCAGTTCTCGTTCCCACCGATCACAATGGGATTGAAAAATAATCATATTCAGTGCTTCCAGGACTTAGCTGATGCCTTTATGAAATAATTCAAGTACAACCTTGACATGGCTCCTGATCGACGTCAACTACAAAGCATGTCCCAGAGAGAAAGAGAATCCTTCAAAGAGTATGCTCAATGTTGGAGGGAATCAACTTCTCAAGTTGAACCACCTCTAGCTGAGAAAGAGCTTACTAGCATGTTTAAGGATACCCTGTCTCCTTACTTTTGGGAGAAAATGATATATGGTTGTTGTCGCTCTGCCGTTAATGTTCAACCAATTCAAGCTCCACGTCAGGCTGTTAGACAGAATCAGAATCGTAATGAAGGAAACATGGGTCACTTTGATCCTATTTCGATGTCATATACTGAATTGTATCCAGCATTGGTCCAGAAAAGCTTAATCACAACTAGGGCTTTGCGTCCTCCAGATCCTCTTTCAATAGGATTACGTTCCAATTTTCACTGTGAGTTTCATCTAGGTGGTGCGGGCCATGATTTGGAAAATTGTTATGCACTAAAGGCTAGTGTAGCGACAGAAACGTTGAGACTAAGCCATCATTGACTTAACTCACAAAATCAGTGAAAATCGCCACAACACTTTTATCTTATCCAAAGGAATGACAAAAGAGCAAACAGAACCAAAAGTAAAATAGAGATTAAGGTACAAGAGTTGGTTATGTAAAGGGAATGTATTAACACCCTAAACATCCACAGTACTCTACAAGAACCTCTTTAAAAATCTATCTATTTTAGCTATAAAAGATATATACAAAACAAGATTGTGGAGATGAGAAAAAAAATATTTTTTACAATTTTTGCATCTGTCGCAGTTACAAACCTTTAGTGCCTACATTATCCCTTTCGTGCAATAGAGGATTAGGGCACTCGTAGTTCACCTCAAAAAAATTGAAAGTTTCGTGTGTTGATTGATTTTAAATGAATGACAAGTTGTCATTTTTAGAGCGAAAACTCACTTAATCGCCCATAAAGTATGAGAAAGAGAGACTATGTACCAACATGAGGAAGGATTTGAGCATACCTCTAGTACTCAACTGGAGAAGTCGACAACCATAGAGATAGGAGAATGACATCTCGATTATAAATGACTCATGTCTAATCTTGAAAAGGATTTTAAAAGAGAAAAGGTGCATGAGGTCACAAAAAAGTTTGAATGAGATTAAAAAAAAATTTTTTGTCTTTTTGAAAGAGTTAGAATATGGTTAGGTGAATTAGCATTTGATTCAAAGAAAAAGAAGTTTAAAAAAAAGTCACTCGACGCAATCATGGTTTATTATGAAATCGGTTTCAAGTTTGAAAAACAAGAAAGTTTTGAAAAAGAGGGAGAAGATTTTGAAAATTAAAGAATGAGAAGGAGATGGAGAGAGTGTCGTATGTACAAAAAATAAAAGTTAAGAAATAGAACAGCTTAACTAACAAGAAGCCAACACTTGATATAAAGAAGTCAATATCCTTTGGATTAAAGTCAACAACAAATAATAAACCAAAAGAATACCGAACATCGGGTGAGAATAGATCACAGCAGATGAGAATAAATCGTAGCAGGTGAAAATAAATCACAAGCATAATGTGCGTCATATAATACTCAAGGTGGCGGATGAAGCTCATCAGGTGAAAATAAATCACAAGCCAGAAAAGTACATCAGATAAGCTCAAAGTGTCAGATAAAAATTGAGATATCGAATAAAGATCTCTGCATTATATAAAATTCCTAACAAACAGACAAAACCAGGATAGCAAAGAAGTAGACCGAAGTCTCATGTGAGTCAAAGCCTAGTGGACAAGTAACATGTATCAGAGTTATATGAAATATGAAATATGGAATGGATGTTTAATTAATTAACTTAAAAGTTGATTAAATTAACTAATTAAGTTAAGAAAAATTAATTAATCAAAACTAATTAATTTTTAATAACTAAATTAAATAACTAAATCGGCTATTAGTTAATTAATTAAAAGCATCAAAGTATCATGCAATGAAAGTTTAATCGATTAATTAAGAGTTGAGTAACTTAATTAATTGAGTTAAGAAAAATAAATTAGTAAACTAAGTCATTTTTAAAAACAAAATCAAGTAAATAAATCAACGCTAGTTTAATCAATTAAAAGTAGATAAAAGGTGGGAAGAGGAAGTGGTCATGATAACTTGCACAAATCAACAAACAAGTTAGTAATCACAAGGTATAAAATCGAAATAAAACTTGTATGAATGCACATGAACAAATGAAGAACCAAGCACATGATTATTCAAAGATTTCAATTCACAAACGAAACTAAAATCAAAAAAACTCATGCTATTATTCAAACCAAAATCGAAACATAGAAAGTTGGTTTCGAAACAAACTAAAGATCAAACAAATCAAATACGTGCAGCCATGACATAAGTATAAATTGACGCTCAAAATTCACTTGAAACAAGTTCAAGATGAAAGAAAGTAAACTCAACCAAATCCAAAAAATCTCTAGATCAACCTAATTCATATTCAAATAACAAAGCTCAACAATATCTTTAGAATCAAAATCGAATAAACACCAATTCAAACCATGACTAAATTCCACTTCAAAACATGAGAGACCAATTCCAACCACATTTGAATCAATTAAATTAGAAACCGGACAGCAACTACGGAATCATGATAATGCTTGATAATATTCGTTTCAATCATGCTCAACATCAACAAAAACAACAAAACTACACCATAATTGATTTAAACACAAATGAAGACAAAACGTCATCACTATCTCTTTCAAATTGGTTCAAAAACATGGCGTACCTTAAACTCAATCAACATTTGTCACCATAAGTTCAACATCGAAAATCCGCATAATTAGCATGGCATCGCAAGCGGTCTTCATCACAATTCAACACTAAGAAACTTGCCAATTTATCGCGAACAAAAGCATAACATCAACAATTGACCTTTTAACTCTCAAACAACAACCTGTTCAAACAAAATTCTATACAAACTCAAAATCATGACAGTCATCAGTTCAAAACTTCCTTTAGATATTGCAATTAAGCCAGTTCATTCTACATGAAATATGCAACATATAAACTGTATAAATCGTACTTCAACAACCAAACATTATAAAAAAAAAACAGAAACAGACCCAATAATCTGAATCACAAATGCAAAAACCAGAGAAAAAAACATACAAACTGCAACAGAGTCAACATAAATCTCAATCACAATCAAAATCAAAATCATGATAAATAAACTCAAAATCAACAATCACCACTTACTTCAATACTATCACATACAATCCGACAAATCCAGAAGAACGAATATAAATTACATACAAAGATAAAAACAGAAATTACCCCTGTTACGGCGAAATACGCTACTACCCGGTGTTAACGATTAAGAAGCAGTGTTTCTGTGCTGAAACGGAGTTGACAGTAGGCTTGACTGAAATTCGAAGCTGAAGTAACCGGAAGGTACGGAAGGAGACTGTGACGAATCGCGGAGGAGGCTGGAATCGGCGAGATTGTGAACTGATGGTGATGAACGTTGCGATGATGATGGTGTCGAGCAGTTGTGATAACGACGGAGGGAGATCGGAATAGTGAGGATGTTTGTTGGAAGTTGTAGCAATCGGCGTGAGTAGGAAGCTGAGAGAAGAGATCTGGAGGCGGACGATTGGTGTTGCGGACCGTATGTTCGCGTGAGTTTGTTGAATGAAGTAGTAGTTAGGCGGAGAGGGTTACAGAATCGGTGGTGGTTCGTTGGTGTTTATCGGAACGGAGGTTGAAGAAGATGGTGAGCGATTGGAGGTAGTAGATGGAGGATGGTGTTGATGATAGCGATTGGGACTCGACGAATGGAGATGAAGAAGGTGGATGATGGTTGACGGCGATTGATGTTGGTATGGAGGTTAACGGTTGAGAGATAATGAGAGTATTTTGTGAGTTTTCGTTTTTGCCTCTACGATGCGCAACTCCTTCTCTCCCTCTTATAACAAAACAAATCAAAACCTTTTCTCTTTTTTAGGTTATGACCAATTGCGAATAAATGCCTCCTCTTGAAAATATTCTGAGATATATCAAAATTAAACAAAAAAATTATTATAAACAACAATTTTTTTATATAAAAATTCTAACACTAAAGATAAATAAAACAACATAATTTTTTATATGCAGTTTCCTTAATAAATTTAAACTAAAACTAAAATCTAATAAAAATAAATAAAAACACAAATTTTTTTGTTGATATTTTTATAATAATAATACTAAAACTAAAAAGTTAATTATTAATATCCTAAAAGCAAAAAAGGAAATATATAGATAAAAACTTAAATTAAAAGTAAACGTAAAATGCGTGTAAAAATACAAATATGCGAACGAAATTTAATTTGATATATGAATGTGAATGATAAAAGTTCAGAGTAAAATTTGTGGTACAACAGCTACGGTACAAGAATTGATTAAGGCTAAGATTCTGACTTTCAAAGACATCAATCTCAATATTGTCAATAATCCTTTGCAGGCCATGTAAAGTGAAGCTTTAGTTGGTTGAGTCAATTTCTCCTCAACAAGTGTTTCGACAAGGACAATTCATTTGACTTTTGATTATTGCAAAAGACTTTGTTTCATTTCTGTTTGTACTTTCCATTTGACTATGTTAAATTGTTTGTCTTTTAAATTGTATGTTCTTTGTTTTGTCAATTTTAATGAAATGAGCATTTTGCATCTTTGAATAAATTTATGGTTTCAATACTACTTTTGTATATCGCTTGTTTTACATTCTTTATTAAACTTTTGTTTATGCAAAGATTGGATGGAGGATGATGAAAACAAAATACTCAAATTGTTGAATAGTATGCTTTCAAATAAAACTCTGCTGACGATGTAAGATATTGTTTCAATTTCCAAACATTGGAGAAATAAGGAAGTTAATCCCTTGTTAACCCCTTTGAGCCTAGAAGTTGGAGTTTCTTTCTGTATGAAAAAAACCCGCAATCTTAACCTGGGGATGGGTAGTTCTCAATTAATTTGGATGTGCATTCAAATGCAAGACACCTTTCAATAAAGGTTGCAATCAAGCTTTCCTTCGCACACATCAAAGAAGTGTCGAAGATGCCATACAAGTCAGATGTCAATGATGGTTCACCGTAATCATTAAACCAACAATCACTATCTTTCCAAAATAGAATGAAATGAAAAATAAAAGAAAATCCCGCTAAGCCAAAACTTATTAAGAAGACTTAGCCAAAATTGGGGCATCTCGTTGACTGTAAATTCAAAATAAAACAATTCAGGAAAAAGTTAGGGATAATAAAAAATAAAGAGAAGTCACTAAAATAGAAGTGACTGCCATCTCAAGAATCCCTTGGCTCCTGAGCCATCATCATTATACCAGAGCTGTAATTCCAAAATCTCTTAGGACCTGAATGCATAGGTTGATTTAACTGAACGTAGGACTGAAGATCATCACGAAGAATAGGATGGGTACAAATAAATTCTGAGTCTTTATCCTTTGTTTCATAAACCGTGAACCAGACTGCATTATAACCCTCAAAAGACCTAATTGAAGCTAGGTTACTTTTGAAAGCATAATACAACGAGGTTGTGTCAACTGACTCCCAGGTTTCCACTAATCTTTTGCTCTTGGCGTTATGCCTTTGCTTTATCCTTTACTTTAAACCACTATGCTTTAACCAATGATCCTTTAGTTCATCTTTTACTTTAAATATTTAAACTATTGTGTTTTAGTTAGTGAAATCTTTGCTCTTTCATCAATGATATATTTTCAATAATGATTTTAACTTTAATCTTTTGCACGAGCTTTGCATTAAAAATACCATTTTTGAATGAACAATTTTATTTGCAAACATGTTTTCTTCATCAAGGAATTTTTAAACTGTCAAGGAATTCGGTCTATGTTTTAATCAGGGGCAAGTATCTTACAGGTCATGTTGGAGCTTATTCCTAGATTTGTTTATCGGTGACTACTTCTCTTACAAGTCTATCAGAATTTATTCTTTAAAACTCATATTGGGGCAAGCGTTTCAAGTGCACGGTGAAGCAGTCATTTCAAGAATCAGTCAAACTGAAGCAATGATCAGTTAACCTGAAGCAGTTATCAATCAATTAGAGGTAGTCCCCAAACATATCTCATTAGTCCTTCCTGAAAGGATCAATAGTTTTATACATTTTGGCAAGTTGTAATAGAAGGTTGTTCGAGACATCTTTCGAGAAGCAGAGTTGGCAGTGTTCCCTATGTTGAGGAGCAACACTCCAATCTTTCCATACAAAAGAGTCTAGCTCAGTCGTCATAATTATTTGCATTACATGCATTGATCTCTCATACATCATGCACAGCAAAATTCAATATCACGCATAGCTCGAAGAGTGTTTCACGCTTATTTGAATTTCCCGAGGTCTTGTTGTTATCAACATCTTTCCTTATGGTCAAATTCCAACTTACATGGCACCCACCAAAGCAGATGTCTGTCTGTTTTTGTTTTGTCCGATGCTAATATTGGATGTGATGTTTCTCTCTTTTTTGTCTAACGCTAATATTGGATGTGTTGTTTCTCTCTTTTTTGTCCAACACTAATATTGGATGTGTTGTTTCTCTCTTTTCAGTCTAATGCTAATCTTGGATGAGTTGTTCCTCTCTCTTCCAATGCTAATATTGGGTGTGTTATTTCTATTCTAATGCTAATATTAGGTGTGTTGCTATTTTTTTTTTCCGACCAATGCTAATCTTGGATATCATGCTTCTCATTTGCATCCAATGCTAATTGGATATCATGTTTTCTCTCTTCCATCAAATGCTAATATTGGGTATGTTAATGCTCCAACCAATGTTAATCTTGGATGCGTTGTTTCTCATTATGTCCAATGCTAATATTGGGTGTGCTGTTGCTTCTCACTTTCAACCAATGCTAATATTGGATATCATGTTTCTCTCTGCCATCCGAAGCAAATATTGGATATCGTGATCTTTTGTCACCATCCAAAGTCAATAATTGGATGTCTCAACTTTTTGTTAATTCAAATCTAATCATTGGATGTCACGTCTCCTTTTTCCTTCATTCAAAGCAAATCATTGGATGTTGCGATCGTCTTTCATCTAAAGCTAATAATTGAATGTTATGTTCTTCTGTTATCCAAAGCCAATAATTGGATGTCGTGGTCCTCTTTCACAGTTACGTTGGCGTCCAAAGCCAATAATTAGATGTCTTATCCCTAGTTATTTTCCTCAGTTTCACTCCAATTCCAATATTGGAAGTCTCGGTTCTGTGATCGGTGGATCTGGAACTGACTGTTTAACGCTGGTTCGCGAAATGTCGCGGAAGCAAGAGTCGCCGCCGTCTTTTATTTTCTCCAAATGGAAAGGACAAAAGCACAGAAAAATTACTTATAGAGATTGCTCTCGGTTCGGGAGGTAGATTATAGAAAGGGAAGGTGTTAGCACCCTTTCTATCCATGGTTATCCATGGGCTCTTAGATACTTGCTCACTTGTGTTTTCAAAAATGGTTTGTTTGCTTTTCAACTGTGGGTTTTAAAAAGTTTCTCTGAAAATTCCAGTTCGACTCTTGTATCGGTCCTCAAGAGTGTTTGAAAAGTTGCTTTCGAAAGCTTTTTGAAAAGGTGTCGGTGTGAAAAGTATTTTTTGAATTTGTTTTGAAATTAGAGCAAGTATCTAGAGTCGTCTACCTACCCTAAGGAATTCGTCTGTGTAAATGTCCTTTAAAGTAGTGCCATCCCACCATTGAGAGGTAGGTAGCACCGCCGTTGGAGGTGTTCGGGTCAATTCGAGGGTTCGGGACATGGTGATCACCGGAGCAATGGGAAGACACCTTAGAAGCTACCCTCATGCCGGGTTCCCGGATCATGAGGACTTACTAAGACATCCTCTACTCGACGATCACCTTTCGAGGCAAGGCAACAGTGAGGCGTACCCTAGGGGTGGTGTGTGATTTGTGTGTCGTTTTCAGATATTTTGTCTTGTCATGTCAAAGTGATCTATGCGTTTGTTTTTATTTTTGTTCATACATTCTTTCATGCTTTTATTTACAGTTAAAAATTGCGGGAAAAGTAAAATTCTAAGCTATTACAAAAGGCGCGGGTCCACATCGCCAAAATTAAACCAGGACCCGATTTGACAGAAAAATAAAGAAAAATAAGAAAGTAAAGAATTAAAAGTGTGAGAAATTAATTACATGGCTTCGGGAGAGATACATAAATATTTAAACGAAATAAAATAAATATGCGAATTAATAAAAATTAAAAACGAGGGCGTTGGACCCTTTTTGCAAAACTAAATTAAATGGTGACATTAATTAATTAAAAAAAAGAAAGGAAATTGTTTTTTGGTATTTTATGATTTTTAGGATTTTAATGAAAAAAAGAATTAATTAAGATAAATGCTAACCCTAATTCTTATATTTTAATTTATTACGAAAAGAAGATTAAAACCTAATATTAACCCTAATTAATTTACATGCAATTTTACTTACAAAAATATATCTAATATTTAATTATTATGAAAAAAAAGAATGAAAAATTAATTAACCCTAATTCTATATTTTTTAGGTTTTTATTAAAAGAATTAAAATAGAAAACCTAATTTAAAACTAATCAATTTATGAATTAATATAATTTATTTAGGAAAACACTAAAAAATAAAAATAGTTATTATTTTTCTCTTTTCTGATTTTTTTTGATGTTTTTTTATATTTTGTGAAAATAATAAATTAATTAAACACAATAATTAAAATAAAAATAGAAATAATGCAAAAAGAAAATACTTAAAATGGCAAACCTAGGGGGGTATCAGTCCCCAATGTGGAGGTGAGGCCTTTAGCAATCTGGCCCATTTGCCCTTGGCCCATTGGACTTTTCTGACCACGTGTAGCTTTGTTGACTTATGCTTATGGTATTCTCCAGATTCTAGCCTTCTGATTGATCCCCTTGGGCACGTGGACGTTGGATTTTGAAGGTGTATCATGGGACAACAACATTGAACTTG